AACACTGCAAAACGCAAAGAGGGAATATGTGATTGATAGGTTAAATCTATAGACTGACCTACGATATCTTTATGTTCCAGTTAAAAGCTCGCTTACCTAAGCTTTCAGTTTTTCAAGGTTCAACCGAACCTTCACCATTGTTCCAGTATAGCAAATATCTGTCAAAAACAAAGACATGTATGCATTATTGTTACAGTGTTAAAGCTCGTCCCCTGTTGTATCTCCTTCACTGGAATCCTACTCTAGCCGGGCAGAATGGAGACGTGACCGTCGGTGAGGTAGTTAATGATGCGATTATCGGATACAACAGAGATTACAGTATATGGACAGCCAAAGACTACATGCAGCTCAAACTTCCAGGTATTGCTTTCCTTACAGGCTAAAGTAGTCTATGGAAGTCTTAATATGATTGACAGAGCTACCACAATTTTGACGTAAGAGAAACTATACACTGAAGTCAATATACATTTATTTATCAAACATTTTTGTCTACAGGTCTGAAGATCAGTCTGGATAATCAGATGGAAGCAAATAAGACCCATGCAAATCGCCACACAGTTATCGTTTACACAGGGATCAACGGTCAGGAGGTATAATATTCTCAAGAAACTTGGACAAAGGGGCCACAGAAAACGATAAATTTGACAGATTTAAACATGTACATATATACACATGTACCAAGGTGCAGGTGATACTTTTTTCTTTTACTTTTTTCGTACCACTGGGTCATAAATAGACACGATAGACTCAGGAATTGGACACGTCAAACGCTATTGAATTTTCCATTTATAGTGCTTGAATAGAGAGGCATTGTCTTGCTGATTAAAAGCCACTTAGGATTTATCCATAACAGACATGTAACGTTGGTGCAAGCAAATTCGCCATGCACCCTGTGACGAAAATGCCATATAACGTCACGATACATAAGATGTGACGTAAATAACGTCACCATAGTCATCATCACAGTTAAAACCTTCAAACATTTCGACAATAAGAGGTATAAGAAAGGAAAAATTATATAACTAATTAAAACAATTATGAAATATCTTGTAACACAACGAATCTTAAGACATTTGGTCTTAGCGAAGGACATCTCGCCAACTTAATTAATTAATATGAGGCCTGTTGGTTGTTATTTAGAGAAAATGCATTATTTACACATTGAAATATTTCGACGCTAATTGCAGTTTTATGGTCGACTGAGCCGTCACTGCTTTGGTACACACAATGACGACCCAATCCTTGTTTATGGAAATAACGCACTGATAATTCATTTTCAATTTTCATGCAATGTGTATTTAGAAACCAGCCAACCAGTGTCTTTTAAAAAGTATTGTTTGCGTCTAGCTTTCAGCCATCTTTCAACATTTTAATTAAACTTAGAATATTTCTTGATTTATATTTGAAAAGTATTTGTTGTCGGACTGAAAGTACTGCTGTACAATCGCATGCTGATTGTACGTAGAGCCCGACAGTTACCAAAGACTGATTTTACATGAAAAAATAAGTACATTTACAACGCCTGGAGTAGTCTCTGTTGAATAAGTTTTCAAGCCAAAAAAACGTTTTAATTTGTCAAATGTTTCTCGTTGACATGCAAGACGATCACTGGTGTGAGACCTGGACCCTCTCATCCGGACCTGATGAAAAATATAGTTTTGGGCACCGATTTGGAAGTTAATATTTGTTCAGGACTGAGTCTTTATTGCCACGCACGTACATTGACCTCATCGCAGCCGATTCCATCATTCTAACTTAAACACCGATAAGATGTTTCTTCAAATTACCGAAAATTAACTATCACAACTAAGAAAAGTCATGTATTTCAATGTTAAACTTTGTTACACACACACATACATTTGGAGATGTTCGTATCAGTATGAATTGTGTGACATAAACATACAAAATGTCACATTTAAACACTTATATTACTTGTAAATTAGTGAAATGTTTGAAGGTGGCCAAACTGCCTACACCTTTGAGCAAAACCACAAAAGGTCTGATGACGTTACAAATGTTGCTGCGTGACGTCATTCAGGCGTGCTTACAACAAAGTTTATAGGCATTTCAGTCAAATGTTCTGTATTTGGTGCTCGTGGGCATTTGCCTGCACTAACGTTACCTACAGTATGACTTGTCAACGTGGGTTCAGTGAATTCCTTATTAAATGAACTACTGTTTGGCTTCGTACCATGTTAGAAAACCTCATACCAAGTGGTTCGTAAACAATACTCTTACGGTAGGACATTTCTCCGCAATTCGTGCTACAGAGAGGGTACCCAAGCACAAATCTACTCGAGAGCGGAGCGCCGTGATTATTGTCCACAGAGGGTTTTACGTTGGGCCTGTCAGCATTACGTGTCCCACAGGTCGTCTCTAACAATGACAACGCCCCACATGATGTATTTAATTACAACACAGTTCTACAGAACAATGCCACAATGTGTCCCCCATACTCGAAATGCAAGTGTCAAAACTTCACACTTCACACATGATCAAAAGCTTGTATGCCTTGACAGGCGCGCATGAACAAACGTAAAATCAGAAATCCATTTACAGCACAAACTAAAGTTAACAATATTTTTATACAATGTCCAATAACTTTAATATATCAGTTACTATTTCTTAAAATAACCTCAAAATAATTCATTAAAAAAGCCAACACTACAGAACTATTTCCAACGACGACGCCATTTGGCAGACGCCATGACGTCATAACGCGTGTAAACTGTCTTCCTTGAGGGGAGTTTTCACCGGTGAATTCCTGTCTTCCACGGACAAGTATTGGAGAAAACAGTAACTTGTTTGATTGCTCAATCTTGTTTTAATGCAGAAATGCAGCAATTTGGCGTCTTGCTATTTTATGCTTAATTATCATTTCTGTTTTTGCTGCATCTGTCTTGAAAAGGTTAAATGTGAGTTAATTGTACTTCAAGTTAATACGTTTTTGTTATTCATTCATACGTTCTTATATTCGCAGTACACAGTGACAATGAATGCCCACGTGATAAACGCCACTAACGCCACCTACAATACCTATGACTACTACATGATGCTTTCCCACAGTGGAATGCCTTTCGATCTGTCTCTCCGAGGTCATCTGAAAGGCATTAGTGATAACCTTAACCTAGTGACAGAAATACAACCAGTTTCAAAGACTGTGCAGGTAATATACATGAAACTACCTAGCTAAGAAATAGAAATATTGTAATAATCCTTTTTAAAACAAGCGCCATGAATCCTTCACAAATTATATAGAACATACGTTTTGTGTCATTATTTGAAATCACATTCACGAAAAGCTTTTAAATATCTAACTTGTACACAATAGTTTCTTTTGCTATAATACCACCGTATACAATCATTGCATTCCGTACATATGGTTTATAATGTTTTCAATTACTGTTGTTGACACCTACAATACACCAGTTATGCTATCATCTTCATATTCTATGATAAGATGTTTGTTTAAATTACTTATAGTTGTGTGTTGTGTGATTTAAGATTGTAGTGTAAAAATATAAAGTTTATTTAGTTACCTTACTCTTGCATCTTACATTATTGCACTGAATGTGTGTTTATATTAACATATTCTGTAATATGAGTATTGACCTGCTATCGTTTTTCATTACTTCATTACTTTAATAACCAGGTTTCGTTTAGTCCAGTTGCTCCTATTTAAGTTAGTTTACTATTGCGTGTATATTTGTTCCGGACAGGAACCTTCTCCAGTCGGGGATGGGAACGTGCAGAGTCCAGAGCAAGAACCGTGTGTGGAAGCACTGGGGAGGACATTGGTGACGTTTAATGCTGAAAACGTAGCAGTACCCGATGGGATTGAGATGAGATGGGACTACAACTACAGCAGACAAGTGTGTGGAGGACAGGACCAATACCGTATATCTGGATTGTATGGACGTCAGGCTGTAAACTCTCGCTGGAAATTTCAGTAAGTATCGTTTAGTTACTTGACGACACAAGCAGGTATTTCAGATAGCCTTCGCGGTTGTCAACGCTTTAATTGACTCTTGCAAAAACTTCCACAAAGCATAGTGCGTACTGTCGTCAGCATTTCGACATAACCTAAATCTCCAGTATCAAAGTACAACCTATCGACACTATAGGTAATTTCCAGTAAGGATCATAAGTAGAACAGTCAACTGGTTACTACACGAAGGGACTTGCGCTAAGTTTCGCTTAACTACCTGTTAGTCGTTGAACACACTCAGACATTACCTCAATTGTTTTGAGGTTTGCGCAGATGAGTTTTATTTGCTATACTTATATCCCATCTTGACTGATACAGATATGAGAAATAGTGTTGTTTAATCTATTGATTTTTGAATCTAGCTACTGGGCGACAGTAGACGTGACTGCCACTAAGTCGCGTGATGCTGTTGGTCAGCAGGATGCAGTGGTCAGGTCCAAGTCATACAAAGGCAACTTCCGTGCCCACATGAGACATTTCCCGGTTCATTTTTTGCTGGACTATAGCAGTCAGTTGGTGAATACTTCTTATATCCTGCGTGTCACTGAAAACCCTAGACACAACATAACCGTCCTTCTCCAAAGCCAGTTACAGACACCGTGGCCAGTGGTCAACTTCAACATTAAACGTGAGTTGCTGTTAAAATACCATAATAAACATTGACATCACATGTGAAACACGGCTTCTCTAAGGATTTGTTTACAATGTATTAACACCCGATGAAATAAAGTTTGCTTTAGTGTCTAAAAAACACATGAAATGAGTAAATGTGTTTGCTTTTTTACAGACACTTACGTTTGGACGGACCATCTGATGCACACAACGGAAGTGACGTCTGCATGGCTGGATGTCGACACAGTAATCCACTATAACATTTCGTGGTTTGACGTCATCAGTGCAGAAATGCACAGCTACCTGGACTCGCGGGTAAGTGTCTTTTGAATTTGTCTTCAGTATTTTTTATTGCATAAGTTTGCGAAGGCATTTGAAGGCAACTTTCTTAATTTGATGAAATCTTTATATATTCGCCGTAGCATGCTGGCGTATTACGACAATTTAAACCAGAGAAATAAAAAACGAAATGCGCACGAAAAATTCATGATACACTTTAAATCGACTTATATGGTTCTCACTAATCAATTACACTTCTTATTGCCATCGTCCTAAAGAACAACAAAGAACTATGTCTATTTCTAATTGCTAAATATAAAACGAGACAAAGGATTGACTAAGAGAAATAAGTATAAGTACATTATGAACGTACTGAAAGGCGACATGAAAGATTGCTACCCTGTATTTGTTATCACGATATTCTTTTCGTGACAACCTCATATGTCACCTCAAGCTGTACGAACGTTCCTTAAATAATAAATTGCCTACAGGTGCCATTCACTGCATAAAAACAGTCCCCAGTGCATAATAGTAAAATGACGAGAAACGCGTTAACAGTTATATTATCATATTTCTCAGTAACGCCGTGGATATTTATATTGCCTGTGAGCCGCATCAAAAAGCAGTTGTGTACAATGTACTTGTATTTTCCTGTTTTCATGTTTACGGATTTATTTAATTACAACAAACAAAAATATATGATATTAAATATGCGGAAAAAACCATAGCACGTGCTTTTTCCTGTGATAGGAATTATAAATGCAAAACAACAACCATCAAAGCATATTTTCATCTGTTCCCACTAGTTTTCATTATTTGGTATTTTAATAATAACAATTCAAGGTTCTAATATACCGCTTTATCACAACCTAGTTCGTAGGTAGTCTAAAAGCGGTTCACAAATTATTACAATCATAAAAATGCATTTAAAGCATAATAACAGCATGATTAAATTACGTCACATGGCCTTTAATTTGAAAAAAGAAATCTTATTTCAACGATTTTACTTGGCATTATATCATCTTGTTTTCTCTTTTTATAGCTGCCATGGTTACCAGGAAGAACAAATGTAACCGGTCAATATGAAATGACAGATGACATTTTGCCTCAATTATTGTTGGTTTTAGAGAGATCAGACGGCATAATAGAACTAAAGGCTGACATGGTCAACACAACTTTCAACATTATCACTTTAACATTCCGAAAGGTAGCGATTAGTTTGACAACATATGCATATACTGAATCTATAAAGACTCAAAATTCAAATATTGTTCGATTTCACTCAAATTTAGTTGGTAGGTGTATTTTACCACTGTAAACTCTACTGCGGTATCCGTTTTCTGATTCGACAAAATGGCTGCCATTAACTGACTTCTGGTTGGTCGAAACTTAGATATTGTTCGATATCACTCATTTGGTATGTAGGTGAATTTGGCATTGTGACCTCAACTATGGCATCCGTTTTCTGATTCGACAAAATGGCTGCCATATACTGGTCGAAATTTGGTAAGTAGCTGTATTGTGCCGACCCTGATTTGCGTAAGTATTGATAAGAAGTATCTGTGGTTATTCACATTGTTTTTAAAAATATGGTTGATTTTTAGATCACCCGAGACAAAGCCTTTTGTCGGGCGTCGTCCGTCGTGCGTCCTTAAACAATTAACATATTCGACTTCTTCTCCAAAACCCCTTAATCAATTTCAATGAGTCCGAGGGGCGGGGCCAAAAAGGGTCAAATTGACTAAAATTTCAAAAATCTTCTACTCAAGATCCAGATATGATATAATCGAATACTCTTTATAGATGGAAGGGTCTTGAGGTGCTTTAACAAAAATTGTGAATTTCATGACCCTGGGGTCTCACGTTTCCCCCTTGGGGTGGGGTAAACTTTACTACAGTATATATAGGGAAATCACATTTTGGACCAGCATTTGTTTAATTTCATTGGAATTAATTCAAACTTGGTTAATATTATCAGTATTGGATAGAAGTTTGATGGTATGCACATATCACCCCTGACTGACCCCCAGGGGCTGATGGGTGGGGCCAAAAAAGGTCGAATTGACTGAAATTTCAATAATTTCTCAAGATCCAGATATGGTAGAATCAAATACTCTTCATAGATAGAAGGGTCTTCAGGCGCTTTACTATAATTCAGCTACTGACAGAACCACTCTTTTTACATAGTACATATACTACCCAGATCTTTCACACTAATTTTGCATTACATGTAGTTCAAGTTACCTTTGTTACAAAATGATTTCTTTTTTATTTGGCAACATCGATAACATCAGATTTTACATAACTCAGGTGACCGTTAAGGCCCATTGGCCTCTTGTTGTTTGATGAGGTGTTTGGGGGACATCTGTAATGACCTCCATTACAATTAGCACTTGTTGTATAATGACTTATTCATGAAATGAACCCAGCATGTTAATTGTTTTCTTTAATGCTAACGGTAACTTTTAACCTACAAATTCAGTCATAATGAAATTTCTTCTTTGACGACAATTCTCTTGTCCATTTTTCGGTCGCTCATAGGTCGAACTCCTGTGTACAGGGGACTTTACTGCTTACATTACTCAATCAAATAGGTAAAAGGATAGAAGACAAAATATCCCCCTTGCATAGAACTTATGAAGATGAAGCCAGGCTCTTTCTGGGTTATCTTATTTTTTCTTGCATTCTTTGGAAAGCAAAAACAAAACAACAAAAACAGATCTCAAACATTGTAAATATGCAAACACATTATATATGAGAGATCATATTTTTTCTGGGATGAATATTTTCTTTTGATGTTTTAGTCAGGCGAGGATGCCATGCATTTACTGACGTGGCAAATGGCCCTGAGCAGCATGCGTGCCAGTACGCACACATTGAGTTGGAATCCCGATCTGGTCCAAGTCGTCAGGAAAGACAGTTTCGGCCGGCTTAGTCGGTTGCAGTTGGCTCTCGTAGAGGTGGGGGAGGTCGCCCTGGATAACGCAAATAAACCTGCCTTGCTTATGTTAATTCCCTTTACGGACATGGTATGAAAAACTGCAATTTGAAGCCTTTTTGACCTATGAGTTTCATTTTAATGACAAATTGTTTTTGGTGGTATCCTACGTGAAGAACGCCATATAACTAGATTCCTGAAATCATAATGACCGTCTTTAAATGTCAGGTTTTTTTTTTTTACTAAAAATGGGGAGAAAAGACGTACAGTCAATTTTAAATCTATGGTCCTTTTTTTTTTATTGTAACCTGTAATCTTTTGTTCTGTTGGTAAGATTTTGTTCAAACTTGATAGTAAAAACTATTGGAGAATATTCGATATGGTAATTAACGACATATTCATTTCATGGCATCATCAAACATTGCCGTCATTTTTTTCTTTTATTGCTTCTATTCTATAGGTCTATTTTTGTTTATACTTGGTGGTAATTTATACATGTCGTATTACATTCTTATGTTATGCTTTAATACCCGTATTCTGGAAAACTGTGGTTTCTTTTTGGCACACAGTAAGGTACACGGCGAGGCCCTCGTTGTCAGTGTTCTAGTTCTCGAGAAATTATATTAAGGAGAATAAAAACTGATCTTAACACATTTTTATAACCTCTTTTTCAGACACATTGTATGAAGGAGAATAAAAACTGATCTTAATACAGTTTTATTAACTCTTTTTCAGACACTAGGTGTTTTCCTAGAAACCTATTTATATCCATACTTGCGATTTCCTGTGACCAACAGTGGTCCTGGATCCTCAAGTATCGGGGACAACTCTCAAAGCACGCAAGAGGTGACGGAAATAGAAGTGGCTGGTGATTCGGAAACAACTCCTCCACATAAAACTAATTTTGGTATTGCTGCTCATTTACATTGTTCTTTATTAACTCGACATTAACTTCAGTTAGGTTCTGCGTATTGTCTTCTCAAAAACGTCGTTAAGTATGACGTATATGGATAGTTTTCCCCTAGAAGCTTTTGAATTATCATTTCATTTATATATTGAATAAAATATTTAGAGCAATGCTGATATTCCTTCGGAATGGTGATAAAATAGGCTCAATTCAACATTCAACGATTTCTTGATTTTCTTTTTGTTATGTTGTGGAACTTGTGGTACAATCTAGTGGTGGAGATGAATGATCTATGCTATAAACGTCGATTTTAAAGGTAGCCAGTGTCCTGACAAATCAAACCGTAAATCGTCGCCCCTTTATCTTCTGTTGTTTCAGGAGACTTGCTTGCAAAATCATTAGCTAGAACCGTGGGGTCGACCCTTACAGTCTTTGGTGGGATCAGTACCCGCCCCCCATGGATTGTGAGGCGTCTTATGGAGATCCTGATACGCCCTTCAGTAGAGAAGTTATTGGCTGAATCTCGTATCTCCTTCACAGCTCCTCTCCTCGGCCAATGGCATTCATTTGTAGTGAGTATAGATTTGAAGACTAAAAATATATACGATAAAAAATGTGATGGGAAGTATTTTTAAAGGGTATACAATGTATTTATATGAAAGGAACATTTTTGATAAGTATATGAACGATTATACTCTTGATGGGTTTATACCCATATGAAGGGAAACATTATCAAAGAGTAAAGATATGAAGGGAAACATTCTTAGTTAATTTAGATTTGAAGGGCAATATTCTTAGATGGTCCTATAGATCACAAGCAATTCTCATTATATTGTTTTAGTGTTATTATTGTAAGTGAATATAGATATGATGGGACATGTTTTAGTTGACTTAATTACAGAAACTATTAAACATTCTTACTTTGAAAAGTTAATAACGAACAACACATATATATGGAATCAACAGTTACAGCACCGTGCTAAAATATGTCCTCACTCAAATCCAACATTGCCGATGCATGAAATGTGAACACAATAAACAAACGATTTTATTTACATTTTACCGCCCAAATATACATAATACTGGGTTATAATTCCCTTTCTGATGATCACTACCTTGCATCGGCTTAGTAAACTGTCAGTTTTCTTATTCAAGACAAAGCACGTTTCCAAGAAACTGCAAAGTTTACTAACTTTATAGGTATGCTCTCGTCCGTTCGTCCTTCCCTCCGTCCTTCCGTCCTGACGTCCGAGAAGTTTGTCCGGGACATATCTTCTATACTATTTCATCTGAAGTATCCATATTTGGTGTACAAGGACATCTTGAGATGACGGAGTGCAGATTGCAAGAAAACGGTCACTTTGACCTCACTGTGACATATGCTTTGACCGTTGACCTTAACTTTTGAAAAACCTTTGTCCGGGGCATATTTTCTATATCATTCCACCTGGAGTAATCAGATTTGGTGTACAAGGACATCTGGGGATGGCAGAGTGCTGGGTGCAAGAATTAGGTCACTGCTACCTATGACTTGACCTTTGACCTTCACTTTTGAAAAGGTTTGTTTCAGGGCATATCTTCTATACTTTTTCACCTGGAGTAACCATATTTTGTGTACAAGGCCATCCTTGGATGGCGGAGCGCAGAGTGGAAGAATTAGGTCACTGTGATCTATGGCTTGACCTTTGACCTTCAATGTTTCAAAAAGTTGTCCGGGACATATCTTCTAATCTATTTCACCTGGAGTAACCAGATTTGGTGTAGAAAGACATCTTGGGATGGCGGAGTGCAATGAAGTAGGTTATGATGACCTCACTTTAACCTATGCTTCCTGGCATAAGTGTACTGTTCATTAAATAAAGAAATCATTACCGTTGAAGGACTATGGATTGACTTGTAATACTTTGCCTTGTTTCTATTCACTTCACTTATTCTGATCCTTTTTCGTACCGTGCATCTTTTAAATCCCAAGTCATATACATTCCTCTGAATTATTCTATGGGACTCTTTCGGAGGATGCATATCTATATATCTATCTATATCAAAATGTGAGCGTCTTTTCTGTTTAACTTACATTTCAAGTGTCCGCTTGTTACATTTTGGCAAACTTTTGATTAATTTTGCTTCAAACTTACGATGTTCTTCTTGACGCCAGATGGAAATGCTTTGCCCTTTCCGCCCCATTACTACAGACGGCGCGGATTCGATTTTACCGGAAGCAGACAGCAATAAGCTTCCGGTTTACAAAGACATTATTGCACGAGGCGCGGTCGACGCGAAGGGGAAATATTGTGAGTCCCATTCAATTTCAAGTCGAGATAAACTATTGAACCACCATTTTGTTTGGGGATATATTTTTGACACGGTGCTGTATATGTATGCTGTTGCAATGAAATATTAAACAAAGCCACAGACACACGCCTCACAACACCGAGTATGTATATTCAGTATATTAGTGATACAGCAAAACAACGTGAAAGTAGATGAGCTTATAATTGTATCTGCAGATTACCAAACAACAATGCCAAAAAGCTGCGTTTTCGAATGGAATTGATCAGGGGATTAGTGTAATACTCTCTATATATCTGTTTCGGTAAGTAGTGTCACTGTTATTTCTTGTAGTCACCACCAAGACAGACCTATGGATTTCGCTACCTTGAGGGAGTATATGGTCGCTTAACCAAGAGAATCCACAATAACGTCGGAACCTTCCGTGGCTTCGTCATCAACAGACAGTACTTGGTCACATACAATGATCGAGTATACCACATACCAGGTAATTAAAAAATAACCAGGATTATTTTTTGGCTATACAGTTCATACCGGAACAAACTGTGTGGTCTTTTGTGCATTAACCGCTTCGCGGATTTATGCAAAGTGCACATAGTGTTTTCGGTAACCCAAACAATGATTCTGGTTATGCCCTTATAATTTAATTTAAACAGCAACCCAACATTCATTCATTTTTGATAACAACAAAAATAACTTTGCACAAAACACCACATAGCGCAATACTTTCACCGCAAAGCAACTTCAACCAGTCAAATGTTGAAATTACAAATACGGCGCCAAACATTGCGTCACGACGTCATCACTACTTGTTTTGTGTTGTCTGCTCTTTAGTTTATACGATGCAGCCTGACAAGTCTAACAATGGGGAAATAGCCAAAATTATATTATACACTTATAATCCTTTAGCTGATCACATTAAATAATTTCATACTAGCCTACTGATAAAGAAGCAATAGTCATTTATAGTTATAACAAAGATTGAAAGCAAAGCATTTTTTTATTTCATATCTGGCTGTATAGTGCACACTCTCCGACAGGGCTTTTGACGGAATATGTCAACTGTACATTCTATAAATGTTCTGAAATTTACAGATAATCGAAACGTAAACGGGTGGCATACCATTTGGTTGTACTCATTAATAGTCTATACTGGCTGTTAAAACTGGGAAAGTGTACGTTTTAAAAATAAATCACACCTTAAAATCATGAATGGAATGTTCGTTACATAGATGACCAGGCCGCCGATTGTGTCCACTTGCTGGCCGGAGACTTTAAGCGCGAGAAGTTTGCGGTACTGCTATCACGCCAGGGCATCACCGTGGCCACCAGCGAAATGTCGGTGACGTTGGAGTATGGTGGAAACGTCTTCCGCGACAACTGTCCTCGTCCCGTGTGAGTGAACTTAGTAGTTCCCATATACAAAAAGTGATATCAATACCTCAAATAAATCCCAGTATGAAAGCTTTCTGCAAAGTGTTCTTTAGAACATTGTTATATGTTTTGTATCAGTGTCATCAGCAATAAAATAGATACCATGGACAAAATGCATCGTTTAGTATGCATAATTTACCTCTGTATCTTACATTCGAGCAGCATATCTACTTAAATCCCATGTGTTTAAGGAGAAATTGACGTAGCTATAAGTTATGCACTATTTGAAAAATTAACATTGTAGCCAATGTAAATTTGTGTTTAGACGATTGCCGTTTGGACATAAAGGGAATCGCATTCACGTGTTTATGGAACGTGAAGATATGATTCTGACTACAACATATGGCGTGAAGATCTCGTGCTATAACCGACGCGACGTGTGTCGCATCGATCTGATGGAAAACCATTTTTCTAACTCTTGGGGATTATTGGGCACAAACGACGGAGAACCCGGGTCGGACTTTCAGCTTCCCAGTAAATATATCACCTCTGTTGTCAACACCTTCATCCAGAGCTACGCTGTCGGCGGTCCGCCTCGGTGCATTTCTCCAGAGTCCAAGCATCACGCAAGGGTAGACGAATCACTATATCCTCATCCTCCGGCAAACGCACAGACACTATGTAGTGCAGAAATGGCTGATGAATGCAATAGACAGTTTGAGAGGGCAATACAGTCTGCATGTCATTCTACCATATCACACCAGCAGTTCTTGGTAAGTTTAAATCTAGTTCCGTGTAGCCTTAGTTATCGGAGATATTTCTATTCTATTCGTAGAAAGAAAATAACTGCAAAAAACAAAACAAAAACGAATCACAAAGGTTACTTTCAGAAGAGGTAGCTGTTTCTGTAACTATATATAAATAAAATCGATCTGGAATGACACAATTTGCATCGATGAATTTTTTTTAACTTTATTGTTGTTAATATAATTGCTGTGATTGTCTTTACCAGGAGAACTGTCTGTCCGAAGCCAAAAGCTGCGGTCTTGTTGCATTTGACGCTTGCAAACACATCCGTGCATACGAATATGTCTGCCATTTGAGATTCAATTATGACTCAATAGCTGGTAACATTTATGTAAAATTAATATAGAAATCTAAGAAATAATATTTGGTAAAGCTTCTGTAAAAGAAAAATATGTATTATGTAAATTGTTGCATATACTTAAGTGGTGATAGTATATGAATTTTATTGTGGCCAAGTTTATTGATGAGATTCCGTATGTATATTTATAGCTGTCTTTATTCTTAAATACTTAACAGTATGTTTGTCATGCGATATCTGGTGTATTTTACAAATTGAACACTTGTTTTGATAAGGGATGGATAACTACAGACACGATTCTGCTAAAGAAAGATGGAACAAGGTGCAACGTTTACATTTCAGTTAACTGTAGCAAAGACACTAAATCAGAAAACAACGAGGGCAGTCGGCGGCCGGTAGATGTCGTGTTGGTCGTATCTGATGTTTTGGAGTCCTTACGAACTGACATTGAGGCCCATGTGGAGACTTTACTGCACATTGTAAAGTATAATATACGTAACGTACAATTGGGAATCATCGGGTACGGAGGAGATACACAAATGTTTGATGCACTAGACCCGACGGTCTCCACAAGGTAAGTATGACAAAACAAAATACATCCTGTATATTTAAGGATTAAATCCTGTTTTGTTGAGGTTTATGGGGTTTAAACCTCAATCGGTCTTTAGACAAATTTTATGATTTTATAAAGGTTTATAACCTATAAATCTCAACAAAACGAGTTTCTATCCTTATATTTACATTCAGTGTAATATTTATATTTTTTGATCATTTCTTAAATATCGGTCTTGTGCAAGTCTAACACCACGAAAGGTTAATGACGTCATCGCTCACTGTGATACATCATTCTGGTAAGATGAATAGCTTGTTCGCATTGATTAAAACGAAAAAATATATTAAGATGTAAAATAGTTTTTCAATTCAATTGAAAACATCAAACAAAAAACACGAACAAATTGAAAACAATTTATTAATAGAATTACTTCCCGTGCTCCGCAGATAAACAGAGTTACCAGGTTGATAATATGCTGATGTATTCATACGCCAACTGGAAAGTTCAATGAAAAATTATCTCTAAAATGTTAAGAAGATATATTGAGTCCTAGTTCAGTAAAAATGCAAATATTTGTCAATGTCCCCCAACAGATTGATTAGCCTATTTCTAAACACCACTCCGTTGAGATGTCAATACCTGTCTTCCTACAAGGTAGGTTTATCAATTAATGTCTAAGCAACGAAACGTTCACAAAAATGTCACCTTCAAAGTTGCCTTGTCAATATATATCCCCCGCACACCAAGGTAGGTATTCACTTTTCCCCAAACGAGGTTGATTTGTCTATATCTCTGTCCACAATGTATGATAATCAACTTCACTCCCATAGGATAGTTTTTCGATGCCTTTATCCACTACAAGACAGATGTGTTGCTCTCAAATGAAGTAGGCCTTAAATTACTCCAAACCGATTAGAGAGATTTGTCGTCGCCATAGCCTTCGCTATCATTGCTATGCTGATGGCTTACAAATTTACATGGTTCATCACACCACAGGACAGCTGGGTTACAATTTCAGAAAATCTGGAAGCTTGTCTGACAGATATCAGTACCTGGATGAACGCCAAAATGCTAAAGTTTGATCAGGAAAAGACGGAACTAATCGTCTTTTCCCCAAAGTGTAAGCAAACAATAGATCTCCAGCTCAAGATCGGTGCCAGAACTATTGAGACTGTCCCTAGAACTTTGATAGTTCACTGAACATGGAGAAACAAGTGAAGCTATTAACAAATCCTGTTACTACCAGATCAGGAACATCGACTGTATTCGGCAGTTTATAACTCTCAGTTGGATTATGGAAACGCCCTGCTCTGATGGATATCTGACAAACTAACTAGTCGTCTGCAAAGGGTCCAGAACACTGCAGCACGGCTGGTTACTCGTACTCGAAAGAGAGAGCACATCACATCTGTGCTATCTTCATTGCACTGGTTACCTGTACGATACAGGCCGCAGTACACAATTTTGGTGTACACTTACAAGGCACTGAATTGAACAGCTCCCCAGGACCTACACGAGCTTGTTACCCTGTATCAGTCGTCACGATCACGTAGGTCACAGTCGGAATCATTGTTGTGTGTCCCAAAATCTCGTACTGTGACCTATGGAACCGGTGCCGTGTGAGGGTTTCGGCCACGTTGTGGAATAGCCACAGAGGGCATCAAAACTCACCTCTTTACGTCTGCATTTTAGGCTCTTTGCAAAGACGTCATGCAAATACCACCCTTTATTTGTTCATTTATGTGCGCATTGCGAAGATTATCTGCTTGCTTAAATGTATAAAAGTGATTGTAAGCCTTTGGTTTTTGTTTCACAATTATAACTAATACTATTATCCATACGTTGTTTACAACATATGGATAATAGAATTAGTTATTATTGCGCTTTAGACAATTTTACAAATTATATAGGGCGCTATATAAATGTTTTATATTATGATTCATATTATCACGTTCCATTACAAGTTAGATACACACAGTTCTTTAACCCCCACACGGTTGGTCTGTCCCCTTTAAGCAGAAGGCATTTCACTGCCTGATCATTATAAGTTATATTTGTCATTGTCTCCTACATGGTAGATATGTGCAATTCAAATCTCCATTATGAAGGTTCGTTAGAGGTCTTTCCTCAGTCAGAACAGATTTTTCACCACACAAAGAAGAATATATGGTTCACAAAGTTGTTTAATGTGCGTAATCCTCCATTGGTTTACTCAGATATAATCTGCCATGATAAAATACCTTATCACTATGTTAAAAAAACACGCTTGTCGTTTCGAAGCAAATTGCTACGCCAAAGATTTGTGGTGTCTATGATGACTTTATCATTCAATGAGGTGTTTTCGTCGTTCCTTTCTTTTCGTACCGTCTTTGTCCTGCATTAAACATATCATACAAGGTGGAGACACTTCGTCTGCTTCCGCTTTAATTAATTTTTGTCATGTTAAAAAACAAGAACCATGAAAAATATATATACTTAGCAGTCTATGACAAAACGTGCGTACATAATTACAATCGATACTTAATGTTATTTATATAAAGTATTAAATAATTTTGTTATAGTTACTATATGGGTATTTAAGATGAATTTATAACATTTGTTAAAGGTACATGGTATCTTTGGATACGTTGGATGTTGATGCGGCTAATTCCGCATGGAGAGGAGCGTGGAAGCGGTTTCCAAATTTTGTTACAATGAATGACGCATTGGATATGGCCGCAAGTTATCCTTACCGGATGAACACTCAGAGAGTGGTCATCGTATTATCCAGGGAGGTAAGTGAGCACGGCACACACATATACGCGTATACCATCAGGATGTCAGCTAGTCGTAAATCCCATGTATCATAGAAAATTATCAATGTATCAACCATACGTTACATTTAGCAATCACAATATTGCATTATGAATAGATAAAAAAAAAAAAATGAAATCAAAACCATGTTTACGACCTCTTGGCGATGAAATTTCTTTTTCTGATTTGATTTGTAGGTTAAATGTTGGGTAAGATATTTTAAATTACAGTAGTCTCTCCTGGTAAAAAAAAAAATCTGATAAATTTGTGCCGTCATAACTATTTTCGAAAGCACATATTGATGAATTTCAAACGGAAATGTTTAATGTGCGTTATCCTCCATTGATTCACTCAGATGTTTTGATGTATTTTTAACCATTTCTCTCCAGATATTTCCCCTGATGCTGTCAGTTCAACTATCGTCATTTTCATTTTGCTGTATTAGTCGTTTAGCAGTCGATTAAAAGCTCGATTTGAGGAATTCATTTAAATATACTGTTTTTAAAAGTCTCAATTACACAATGATAATAGTTCAGCATCGGTCGCTCCTTTATTCTCCTTCTATGTTGACCATTAAAGCATCCATCTAGCATCGTCGATGATTGTACTTATCGGAACAGGGCTCTTCTGTGCACTACCTTTAGGGCATTGTGTTGCAGTTAAGGATTGCTTCTTTTTAAAATTTACGGTGGTTTGAAACACAGTTACTTACAAAACTTTTATACGATACTCGGCATGTTTTCAATCTATTTCCTTGAATGTCGACGTTTACAAGTATAGTAATCGGTTTTATTTGTGGTATCACTAAACCGGTTCAGGTTTGTTAACACCCCTTGCTTGATGTATCTTGTGAGCTATTTACAGTCCGTCTGTGTTTGCCGTCTGTCGTCGATCGATGACAGTTTACGTTTGCGACGTCTTCAAGATCCGGTACAAATGTTCCTTATGAGGTCCCCACCAAGTGTATTACTTTTCGTGCTTGTCTGAAACACTAAACGCCCAAATGCGTCAGGGTGATTGACTTCAAACGTAGTAAAAATGTTTTATGAGTTAAACAAGTGTTGACACTTTCATTGCTAATTTGAAAATTTAAAATAGCCGCTTTGGTCTCTGATTCGTTGAGACATTTTCATCTTATTCTCATAAACAGCTGCACTGCTAGATTCCAAACTCGGTACAAATGTTCTTCATGAAGTCAGAAACAAGTCTTCTAACTTTTCATGCCGATCTAAAAATCCAGGATGGCAACCATTAAGTCTGATTTGCTGAGAAATTTTCAACTTCTAAAGAACTACTGAAGCGAATGACTTCCATCTTGGTAAACATGTGTTCCTTATGAAATCCCCAATAACTTTTCGTGTTGTTCTGGACATCTAAAATTTCCATCCTAACGTCTGATTGGACAAGACACTTTCAATTTCTTCTCAAGAATGATTGCACTAATCGACAAGTGTTCTTACTATCAGTGTCGATCATAAAATTAAAAATGGTTACCCTGGCCTCTGATTGGCAGATACCTTCCGCCTTCTCAAAAAGGGCTGATGTGATTGTATTCAAACTTGGTACAATTTTCCTTATGAGGTTCCTAATAAGTGTTTTTACTTCTAATACTTATCAGGAAATCACGGATGGTTGCCCCGACCTAATTACAGTCTACAAACTTGAAATGTAAATATATTACAGCGTAGTACAGTTGCGGGATTACACAATGTTACACGATGTGCGGTGTGCGTGCGATGCACATTTGTGCGCACAATGGACGAACGTTGTGCGGTAATAATCGTAGTTGGTGTAAATTGAGGAATGGCTTAACTATGTATACGGTTTCGGGCTTAAACATGTAACATTCATTTATAAGTATGTTCCTATATTTTGTCTACCTTTATAAGCTTATATCTTTTTTCGTATTTTCATAAATTTAGAAATGGCCTTTTCGGTTTTTTTGTACGACCCAAAATCGACACATGTAAAATTATAACATTTACAGACGCGGTCCAATATACAAGTAAACATAACCACTTTATTTTTACGGGACCTTGACCGTAGTGTTACTTAATCTCGGCATTAACGTAGCTCGTCAAGGTTTGGAAATCATGGTAAAAGGGAACTATAGTGCAAAAAGATGTGCGCACGTTATTTTGATGCGTTGTGTGGTTACACAACTATAAATAAAACTAAGACAGGCTGGTTCCTGGTGGTTTGTGTAAAAGATTTTCCATCCAACCCATTTTCTGTCTATTACACTGTAAAAAGAAAAGAATATTCCTTATATGGGTTTTTTTGATCGGTGATTATCGCATATGTGATTTGTCATTTTAATGTTGGTTTCAGAATCCAAATATTACTGATGATGTAAGAACAAAATATGAGAATTTGAATATAATCGTCAATTCGTTTGGGGATTACAAGACCGTGGATGCCTCTGACAAAGTCAATGGCATAAACTGGGACAGTTCGGTCATATACAGGGATTGGTTGTCGACGTACCGCATAATGCCCCTTCCGGAGGTAAGATCCAAACAAGCGCATCCTATTTTATAGCATCGAATATTTGAAATTTATGTTTTTATGTCAGGCTATACTTCATTAAATAAACTTATATAATTAGTTTATTAAAGATGCATTTAATTACTAATTAATGCGCACAAATTAATTATCGCCTTATCTTTATTAAACATGACAAATCTCAAAATGCTTGTCGGCGCTGTAACAAATGTCGGGATAAATCGTCGCAGGATATGTGGTTTTAAGAGGAAAAGAGACATTGTTATACTAATATAGGAGCTATGATTCTGAATGGAACATTAACACTTCAACACCTTTGACCATATTGGAAAATAAATCGCGTTAAAAATGATTTGCATTACACAACAATCAAATATCCTATGGTTCTGTTAGTTATAGGGGACACATAGACAACGAAATACTGCCATTAAAGAATACCATGTACTATACCCCGGGGTACATTAACAAAGGCAATATTTTGTAGATTTCATTTTTTCTATGAGAATTGTTTTTAATAACTTCGTAGAATATCAAAAATATTAGTAATTAGCATGGCGACAGTTTGCAGTTTTCTTTGTGTCTACAATCCGGATATTCTGCTCAATTTGAGTTCCCATTAGTGATAACTATTTACGTTGTTCACTACTCAATTCTCATATCAACATATCATGATTGAATTCAAAATGTAAGAATTATGTAATCATTGAACAATTTCACTGTTAAACAATTTCATTTGAACGCAATCGGAAGACACATGAATCCGCTGCGCTTAACAAATACATATATAATACAAGTAAGTTTAAATGAAGTTAAACGTTACTTTAACAGCAGTTTACATGTTTAGTCAATGGCCTAAGTCAAAATTTGTCCTGGCATAAACAACGACAATTTCCTATTTCAACACGAGTTTTCTTTTGTAATGAGATAGGTAGATAATCATTTCTCAAATCCAGAATATTTGATATGTCACAAACGGAAATAGTGTTTAGTGTACGTTTTAACTTATCACGATAACATTTGATGATACTCAACATCGCCAGGATATGAAAATATGGAAATGCTTGCTTACAACATCGTACAGCTTTGGTAGCACTCATATCTTTTAGTGAAAATTATTATTTCGCAAGATAATATTACCACACCACGAATAGTTCAATTTATAAAATATTGATCAAGTGAATTTGTTTACAGGGAAGCCTTGTACAGCTAGTGGTAGCTACTAAGGGAGCGGTCTTCAATGCTGACTCGGTCACCGAAAGTCGCGAAAAGAGATTGCGGTTCATCGTCAAGCACATCAAAGAACAAATCAAGCTAAATAACTTTTGCTGAGATAACGGTGTTACTCGTCTGTTTAGGTCGCAGCCAATTTGTGAGTCTGCAATTTAATCGTCATTTATGTTCTCTTTTAAAACGCTAACAGCATCTGTTAGCACACTTTTGAAAATGATCACTATGATAAACCCAAAAAGACAGAATTAAAAGCAATATGAATACCTTAATACTAACGATAATTTGGAGTCTAGTTATTATAGGAGCATATCTCAAGAGTTTTGAACGAATGGAAAAAGCCCCCCCCCCCCCCTACACACACTCGTGGTGGCATGTTATCGCGTTAACCTAATTATAATTCCAGTACAGTCTATTTATTCGTACAAGTAATTCATATTCATATACAGAATAACTTTTCGCTTTCAAATGATAATTTTATACGTGGTGTAAATGTCTATAAAACTCTGCATTTACATATGAAACAAATCATTTCTCCGAAGTACTTTTCAATAATTCGAAATACCCCCCCCCCCCCCCCCCCCGACAAGCTATGTGTCACTTATCCATTATTCGTGTCAGCTTTACTGCCAATTTTGTACGCTTTTATAGAAGCGTCGCAAGGTCCGAATTGCAACCTTTAATATGCTAAGCCGTCATCTTCGTGGAAATGATATTCTTGATAAAGTGTGTAGACTATCTCTTATCATAATAGGTTATGTGGTAATAATCTATTACATTTTGCACTCCAGTAAATTTGAACAAGATAATTATATACTAGTTCAGATTTACTTGAGTGGTGTGTTTGCATGCACTATTGTATACATATAATTGTAATAACTTACAAAACGTTATATTTCCGTGGAATTCTTTTGGACTAAAGATAAGTAAATGTAAGGTACGACACAATTTTAAAATGGAAAAAAAAACAGAAAAAAGAAAGAAAAAAAACAATGATAAAATATATATAAGAAATTCACGAATGAGTTTTCTGGCGAATTAACGTGAAAAATATTTTTTCGCTAACAATACTGATTAATACTGATTTCCTTTCTTAAGAATACCTTCTGGTCGTTTAAAAAACCCTGCATATTTTCCGTCATAAGTTCATTATTGACAAGCTCGATATATATCGAGGTCAGTTGTAAACGGAAAATATGGTGAATAATCTACTTCCCATTTAAACTAGAGATTAACTGACGGTACATGTAGGATTGCATAAGAGAAACTCGTTATTACTTCCCGACAAATATGTAAAAGTCATTGTTTTTCTTTCTAGTGTTTAGTAAAATTGGATTATGAGTTACGTAATATGCAATATGGTCGATTAGATTTTAACGGATGCCAGGTACCGAAGACAGAACAACCTTTTTTTTGGAGAAGCGCTAATGGAATCTTATGGCATAATTCCCATATGATTGTTCAACAGTAAATTATTAAAGCATTCATTTTCTATTTATTGTTTGTTACATTTTAAACGGGGATTCTTGTTACAAAATATAAAAGGGTGCTAAATATCTTCCTCTTATCATATGACATTTCATCATTTATCGACAACATTTTCGTTTGTCGTTTCGTTATACATTAAATTACAAAGCAATGAAAATATCATTTAGATCTTCGAAATCGTTGGCACGACTTGAACATCACCAGTTTTTTTTTTATGAACAGTACAGTTACTGTTCTAATTCGTTGATAACTATCATATAACGAATGTGTTAACAGTTGAAGATAATGAAGTGAAGTCGGTCATATCACTGAAGGAATAATGTTATTGTGGTAAAATGTTAGTAAAAATATTTACATGACATACATTTGTATATATGTGATTTACAAATTATAACTAATGTAGTGTATTTCTTATTCCTTATAATTTTGTTGCATTATGCCCATATACAACCAAATGCAGTGATTTGTATGATAGATAATTACCTATTTACTATGTTTTTAAAATTATGAATAGATATGTAATAACAAAATAATGTATATTGAATAATGAATGGTTTTTATATTTTTGATAAAGAATGTACAATTTCTGAATACAAATTGTGGTGGATAAATAATATATGTGTTTGGCACATTTTTGATAAGGAAGGGTATGATTGCTATAACTGGATAAACCTTATATTTATAAGGAAAAATAATAGTTATTAATTAAGTAAGAACTCGTCGGTCAAACGTTCGAAATTTTAGTGAAAGAAAACGCACACCAAATAGATCGCAATCGCTTCTTACTCTTTGGCTGTCCTTTATATTCATGGTATGAAATATTAAATGATGATATGACTTTCCGTATAACATAACGTTTAGGAGCGAATTACATAAAGCCGTATACAAAGTGTGTGGTAGAGGAGAACGTACTGTATGAAATATAGCGTTAAAGATAATACTGCATACCGGGAAAGTTATGTCGCAGTTACACCTTCGCCTTGTTCGCCCTTCGTAATGAGTGCGAATTGACCACGACATTGAAATAACTACACAACATAATATACATAGTAATAACATCTCAAGGGCGAAATGAACGTTGCGCGAAAATGGATTATCCCATTTAAAGGCGAAATTGTCCCGGTATACATTAGTTACTGGGTAACGACACAGTGGTATCCGCATGTCAACATAATAACAATATCAAATTAAGTGTCATAATAATATACCATAATTTTAGCATGGGCAAGTGATTGACTTGAGATGAGGTAGTGATAACTACAATACAATGTCGCGTTACGTACTGGACGATTGTCATCTACTT